TCTTGGACTCTAACTGTAAATGAAGTACATGGGTACCCAAACATGTGATTTTTAAACCTTTTATCACGTATTTATATTTTTACCCATCCTTTTTTTTAATTATTATTATTATTTTTAGAACTGAAAACTTTTCTTTTTCTTTGTACTGCAAACCTGAATAATTGCAGACAGGGCTACACCCTCCCCCTTCTAACCGTGAAGATGTCCTCATCACACCTCTGACTTTTTTTTTTAGCTTCACAGGGAGATGGTCATTCATTCTTTCTAAGAATTCTCTTCGATGTCTTGGAACGTCCCTTTGGTTCACTGATGTCTGGAGGGTTTAATTTTAGTTGAATGACCATACCATGATGCATGAACAGGCTCACAAGATGGGTGACCTGGCTTTTCATAGGTCAATCTCATGGGGGTTTTTGGTTTTCTCAGGGATTTTCGGCATGTGGAAAACTGTTCACTCCCCTTTCTTTTGCTTCTATGAGTGCTGCCACTTCGTGTTCTGTTTGAAACAGGTGAACTTATTTCCTGTTCCTCTTCTTGCTCTCCCATAGACTCGTTTGTCTCTTGAGCATCATATTCCAATATAGGTGTATCCTCTCCTGATGAGTTTTCACTCTCACTTTCTCCTATGGGTTGGTTTTCTGCTGCTTCAAAATGTTCCTCCTCAGCACTGTCCTCCTCCTCTGAAGTCTGATGTGGCGTGGCCAGTTGTCTCCTGACCTCTTGCCTACTAAAACTTTGCGGATTATGGACAGTTTCTAAATTTTCGTCGGATGATGTTGTGTCACTTTCTTCCACTGGATCAGGCGGTTTAACTGCTTGTCGACTTTTCTGGGCACGATGTGCTCTGGTTACGGGTCTTCTAAGGTGCCCTGTGTCATCCACTGGATTAGGCATCCTGACCATATAACCAATGGGCAGCAGGTGGTCTCTATGGAGAGTTTTGACTATACTTGGACCATGTTCTGGTTTTACCTTATACACGGGCAGGTTAGGTAACTTCTCCACTACCACATATGGTGTAGACTTCCAACGATTCTGCAGTTTATGCTTGCCTTTTATTCCAACATTCTGAATGAGAACTCTGTCTCCCTTCTCCAAAGGCAGATCTCTCACGCGTTGGTCATAGTGTGCCTTGTTCTTCAAATGGTTTTTTGTAGCTGCATCTGATGCGAGTTTGTATGCGTCCTGCAACTCTTTCCTCATCCGTGAAACATACTGTTGGTAAGAGGACTCACTTTCACCATTAGGCGAGATTCCAAAGCAGACATCGATGGGCAGTCTAGCTTCTCTCCCGAACATGAGATAATAAGGTGAGTACCCCGTGGCATCATTCCTTGTACAATTGTACGCATGTACCAGGTTGGAGGTATGCTGGCTCCAGCATTGTTTCTTTACAGTGTCCATGGTACCAAGCATTGCTAGAAGGGTTCTGTTGAATCTTTCCGGTTGCGCATCACCTTGCGGGTGGTAGGGAGAAGTTCGTGACTTCCGAATCCCCAACATGGACAACAGCTCCTTGATCAGTCGACTCTCAAAATCTCTGCCCTGATCAGAGTGTATTCGAGCAGGTAGACCGTAGTGCACAAAGTACTTCTCCCACAGGACTCTGGCAACGGTACTGGCTCTTTGATCTTTGGTAGGAAATGCCTGTGCATAACGGGTATAGTGATCGGTCACAACTAACACATTTGCAACACCCTTAGAATCAGGCTCTACCTGTAAGAAATCAATGCAGACCAAATCTAGAGGGCCATTGCTGGTTATCTGATTCAAGAGCGAGGCACGCTGAGGGAGCGTCTTCCTGGTGATACACCTCCCACAAGTGCGAATGTACTGCTCAATCTCAGCTGCCATACGAGGCCAGTAAAACCTCTCTTTAATCAGTTCTGTTGTTCGCTCTACACCCATGTGCCCACACTCATCATGCAGAGACCTTAACACCATAGACCTGTATCTTGCTGGCAAGACTAACTGCCGGCTGTGTTTTCCACACATTTTTTATTTTACTCTGTAGAGTAATCCATCCCTCAACTCCAGTTTGCGACTTTCACGGAGGAGCATCACAATCTCTGGCGAGTCAGTTTTAGAGTGAGCAAACCCTTTATTGCTCTTGATTGCTCTCTTCACCGGCCCAATTGTAGGGTCCATATCTTGTGATGTTTGAATGTCTTTTGGACTCAGCTGATCGAGGATGTTTACGCTGAGATTCACAGGAAATGCATAGGCTTCTGGTACTGCAGAGGCCGGAGCACCAAGTTGATCCACCAATCTGTCAGGTACAACTGCTCCTTCCTTAATGCAGGCCCGTTTACAGAGAGCTTTAATGCCAGCAGGCGGGATGGAAGTCCATTCTCCAACTTCTTCTTGGGCATACTGTCGGGACAGCAAGTCAGCATCAATGTTTTGGCGCCCAGGGCGGTACTGTATGGTGAAGTCATACGTGGCGAGGGCAGCGAGCCATCGATGCCCTACAGCACTGAGCTTAGCCGAAGTCAATACATACGTTAAGGGGTTATTATCAGTCCTGCCAATAAATTTGGCACCATACAAATAGTCGTGAAATTTATCCACTACAGCCCACTTTAACGCCAAGAATTCCAGGTGATGAACTGGATAGTTACGTTCTGAGTCTTTGAGCTTTCGACTTGCGAAAGCCACCGGCCTTAGGCCCTCAGGGTGTTCTTGGTTCAAGACAGCACCTAAACCATTCATGCTGGCATCCACATGCAATATGTATGTCTTGGTGGGATCAGCGAACGCCAATACGGGAGCATTGATCAGACATTCACGGATCTGTTCAAAGGCAACCTGGCAGGCTGGAGTCCATCGTTCAGCAAACGGCTCAGATGCTTTAAAATAGTTTTGGTTTGGGTCTACGCTCTTCTTGGTTTTAGGGTCCTTCCAAGTGGGTGCATAACCCTTGGTGAGCTCTGACAAAGGACGGATAATGGCGGAGTAGTTGGCAATGAACCTCCGATAGTAACTACAAAATCCGAGGAAAGACTTGAGAGGTTTCAAGTGAGTGGGCACTTTCCAGTGTTTCACCACCTCAACCTTCTCTGGATCGGTGGCTATTCCATTGGTGGATACAATGTGACCCACATACTTAACTTGAGGACGACAGAATTGGCATTTGTCAATGGATACTTTCAAACCAACCTCTTCTAGTCTGTCCAACACCTTAAAGAGACGTTGCTCATGCTCTTCAAGCGTTCTACCAAAAACAATGATATCGTCTAAATACACAAGGGCTTCCAGAAGATGCATGTCCCCAACAGCCTTTTCCATTAAGCGTTGAAACGTTGCAGGTGCTCCAGTGATCCCTTGTGGCATGCGCTCAAATTGATAGAAGCCCAGGGGGCAAATAAATGCCGTCTTTTCCTTGTCCTCCTCAGCCATTTCTATCTGATAGTAGCCACTACGCAGATCTAGTACTGAGAACCATTGGCTGCCTGACAAGGAGTCCAAGGCATCATCAATGCGTGGCATTGTATACTGATCAGGTGTAGTGCGGTTGTTCAGTGTTCTGTAATCGATACAGATTTGTATCGCCCCGTTTTTTTTTCGCACCACAACAATTGGGGAAGCATATGGGCTACGGGACTCAGTTATAATTCCAGCAGCCAACAGCTGCTGTATGTGTCACCTCACATCATCAATGTCGGCAGGGGCTAGTCTCCTTGACCTCTCCCGGAAAGGTCTAGGGTCATGTAGACGAATGTGGTGTTCCACCCCTTTAGCCAAACCAACGTCCCACTCATGCATTGAGAAGGCATTTCTCCTCTCAGCTAACTTTTGCCGAAGTCTACTCTTCCACTCCTCGGGGATAGGGGAGTCCCCAAAATCGAAGAGGTTTGGATCTATTTCCTCAGTGGCAAGGTCAGAGGGCTGGACTGGGGTGACTGTATCCACGGCAAACATTTCAGCGATGACAGATCCCACTGGTATGGAGACTGTCTTTGTGGACTCATTTTGGAGTAACACATCCAAGCTATTGCTGTCTATACCAGCATCTGAGAGCACACCTGGCTGTACCAGCACACCGGCAGGGAGTAACTGGGTAAAGGGTGCATCGATCAAGATAAGGTCTTTGGAGGGAGCACTGTGCCTATCTACTTTGCAAGTGGCATAGCAATTTGCTCCTGGGGCGATAGAAAGTGGGCGGGGCCCTTTCCATTTTATCTGTCCCAGCACATCATTTTTGGGCAGTTGCTCCTGTGCCCTAATGGGGGCATACACAGACTGAATTCTCATGGAATGAGCTGTGCTCGGGTCACCTTTCATTTTCACCAAATCCCATAGGCGGCGGAACAGAGACGTATTTGTGCCAACCAACACAGGGGTTTGTTGCTGGTTTTTCGGGTCAGGACAAATCAATGCAAGCACTTCTACTCGCCCGGCAACACCAGTGATCTCCTTGGTAAATTCCATCTCTACAACAACATAACCTTTGTAGGGATACTCTGTGTCAGCTAGTCCCCATAGTCCCAAGCGAGAGAGAGGTTTTATGGGGACATCTGCCAAGTGTTAGTTATACCAGCGTTAAAAGATAATAGTCACGTTAGACCCACTATCGATAAGAGCGTCACAGGCCACATCATTGACTTTGACTGTGTGAATAAATGACGGGCCTACGAGACCCTCAGGCAGGCCTGTGTCAGTTTCTTGGACTTCAACCTTGTTGGTTCGAGCAACACATTGCTCTTCTCCTGTGGGATTTGGGTCCTCCTGGTTAGGACCAGCTACTCCTCGTATTAATCGTATAAGTTTTCTTATGACTTTCTGGGGGTTCTCAGGTGCAGTGCACCTGGTAGCTATGTGACCATTTTCTCCACACTTATAGCAGAAATAGTCATCTCTCTCTCTAGAAGATGAGGCTTTAAAAGAATCAGGCCGGGGGCAAGAGACTGCTTTGTGTACACGAGACTGAGCTGAGTGTTGTTCTGGTGGGTCACTTGTAGACTTCACCGCCATCACACTCATTTTATTTTCTAGTGCCTTCACTTGCTTTCTGAGTGACCGTATTTCACTCTGTGAATCACTTTTCTGTTTTGGCTTCTCTGTCGGGGGTTTTAAACTGCACTCAGACTGTGGTTGAACCCCTGCGGGGTTTCTTTCCTCTAACTGTGCTCTCAACTCCCGAATCTGAGCTTGCAGTTCCCTTTGAGTGACCGCTTCAAACTCTTTCTCCTTTTCCACCTGAACTGTACGAACCCTTTGGTGACACTTAGATGGGGTATGGCTTTGTTTGGCTGCTTGGCGGCCTTCCTCTTCCATCACCTCTCTTAACAAGTTCAGGAATAAGGGAGGACTATCCAATCGTTCCCTTATTTTCAACTGAAGCAACATAAGCTCAGAAGTGGATCCTTTGACTAACTGCTCTAACCGAGCTTTGTTAGCAGCGCTAAATGGTAAACCACCTCCCTGGACTACTTTAACAAGAGACCTCTCTACTCTTCGCAGAAACTCAGACAGGCGCTCACCAGGCTGTTGGTGAAGCGCTCTGAACGACAGGTAGAGCTCCTCTGCTGACTTCACTCTGCCAAAACTGGTCTCTATGGCCTCTATGTAATCCTGGGAACTAGCATCAGGTTGGGTCAGACGCACGGCCTGAATGATCTCCAAGGCCGGCCCTTTGAGACTTTCCAGTATGCGTCGACGTTTTTCTTTACTGGGGCACTCACCTTCATCTACTAGAAGTGTGGCATGCTCCAACCAGATATCTAAGGCTTCTTCCCCAGCTGGGGTGGGACTGACCCCGGAAAATGTCCTTAGACGTCTATATGGATGGCTTTCAGTCTGTTTGTTTGTTCTGACCATTAATTCACCTACGGCACGGATGATGGCTTCAGAATTACCATCCACTTCCCTTTTGTGGGTGGGTAGCCCTTGGATATCTTCTAAGGTTTTCCCTTCCTTCTGCAGAAAAGTGAGTAACTTTCCCTCAAAGTCATCTGGCTGAGGTTCAATGTAGTACACTGCTTTCCAGCCACTTCCACCACTTATTGGCATTATCTCAGGAGGGATTTTCATGGGGTTTATCTCCTCACGACACTCACACAACACCATTAATGATTGTAGTCAAGAGTTAAACATTTTTCCCTTAACTACTACTTTTCCCAAAGCTTTGATAGTCCCTGCTGTTTCTTCTATTTCATCTCTTGAAACTCCTTCTGGTACCCCATACAATAATAGGGCATGTTTCAAATCTACTGATTCCCCTTTGCACCAGTTGACCAACTCAAGTTGTGATGGTCTGCTCATTGGGTGTGTCATTATTGCTATCTGTTTTTTTTTTTATATTGTTTTATTTATTTATTTTGTTGTTGCACGTTTTACTACAGTAGCTTTTTAACAGTTGTGGGGTCAACCTATGTTTTCCTTGGTCCAAACATAAATTTAGTTTCCTTTAGTTAAAAATCCCAGCGGTGCCTCCATTTATGTAACCCTGGTCCCACATAAACTGTAAACTTTTCTTTTTCTTTATACTGCAAACCTGAATAATTGCAGACAGGGCTACATGTAACTAGATGGACAACATGCATATGAAAAATCTATATGAATAATACCTGAATAAAGTGAATCTCATAACTCTGGAACATCTGGATTTAAATAGATTTTCATTCAACCAGAAGTAGAAAGAATTATATTAAAATGCGTCCATTTGTATGTAGAAGGGGTAAAAATTGTTGCTTTTAAGCTTAATATATTACCTTTACGTATGACCAATAAGCTGTGATATTCTAAGCTGTGATATTCTGTATAAATATAGAATATCAACCTGCTTGGTCTTTGAATGTTTAAACAGAAGATTCTAGGATTCTTTGCTTTTTCAGTGATCAAACACACTTCGTATTAATTCAGACAAGGTCAGGTTCATAAAAAGTAAGAAATTTATTTTCCAAACAAATTAAAGCGTGACAACTATAAACAAGACAAATGTGATGGATGAATCTAAGTGGATGGAATGTGATGTATGATGATTGAATGGTGTGTGTTTATCAGAACCTTGTATCTAGAAGAAAACGTTCTAGATGTGTAACGAATTTGGTCTGCATTAAACAAAGAAAGTTGGTTCTTATCAAAACCACATCAGAAGCAATCATGCTGTGTCTACCTCACCCTTTTGGAGACCCTCTTCGTGGATCCGGAGGTCAGGAAGGTCGGATGATCTCTGGGCAATGAGGTTCAGTAGAATAACCCCAACACCGACTTCTCCAGTCCAGAGATGTCGCCAGGCACAACAGGTTGGAACTAGTTTGCATCTAGAACTCTTAAGCAGTCGGAACTGTATCAGCTTTGTTCTGCAGGAACCGTTTGTTGTGTCAGCTTCAGCGTGTAGCAGGTTTTGACAGCTTGTCAAGAGAAGCGATGGTTAGAGAGTTTCTCGTGGTGGCCAGTCCGGAAATCTGCTCAAGAACTAACTGGATCACTTCGCAAGTCATTCTGTTTTAATATTCCCATGTTATGATTACATGGCCAATCAGGACAAAAGAGGTTAAGAGGTGTTAACAAACAAACCTCAGAACACACGTCTTTTCCAGATACAAAAGATGTTCTCGTTCTGCGGATAAAAATCTTTTATGTGCGGTGACATTAACTTTAATTTATATCTAATGAACATTGTATATAAGTGTAGATAATGATTCACTTGTTAAACCAAACATTACTGATCATAACATCAAAATGTTTCATTGCAATATTAAAGTTCATTTCAACTTCATTGAATTAGGCACAGATTATTCAAACATTAATATTGGTATTCATGTAAAATTTGTTCATTCAACTATATTATTATTTAATAAATATTTAACTTATGAGTTGTAAAAGGTCTTCTTTCATGAGAGTGTGCAATCCTGCGGTCTTGCCAAAAGAAAGCTTTGTTTGGGAAAATAGGCTGATTTCTTCTGCCCCTGAAATGTCAACAAGAACTGCAAAATCTTCTGGCTTGTTGGAAAGATAGAATGTAAAATCCGCTTTAGAGAATAGAATTACCGTAAATCCTCTAATACAGGCCCAGGCCTGTATTTGACTCAAGGTCATCAAGCTCCAGGCCTTTGTTGGAAGGAGGACCAGAATTAGAGGCAGGCCTCAATTTCTATTTGAGCAAAATGAACTAATGGTTCGCTGGAGTTTTTGACAATTAAAATTGTGCTCACATTTTCAAAGTTAAACACATTTCTTTTAACAACTGTTCTGCTTCAGCCCTCTCCCCCCTCCCCCTGCGCAGCGGCCACAAACTCACTGATGCGTCTGCAGCCTCTCGGAGTTCCTGCTGCTCTAAAAATTTAAATAATTATTTCATTTTCTGTTCCTCACTTCTGATTACCTTCAATGGTGTCTGTTTGTTGCAACCACCAGGTACAAAAACTAACTTGTTTTTATTTGACTATTTTTCTGTCCTGTCTGTTTATTATCTCCCTGCATCTCCTCTCAATCCTAAAGAGAAACTGCTACCTGGGTTCATATATATTCACCTTATGAGTTACCTTTGAACTGCAGTTCTAAAAGACCTACTGACCGCAAAAACAGTGGAGTGCGTGCCGGCCACATCAGTTAGGTACATCACAGAGGACAAAACAGGTGATGTGTCCTGGTCCACAGCAGCGAAAAGCATCAGGCACAAATAAAAGAAAAAAAGACAGAAAACATAAAAGGAAATGAGCCGGCATGAACGATCGCGTGTTAAATTAGTTTTTGAGGTGGCGACACCTGATTTGATAATGTTACTGTGGCCGTGCTCAGGACGCAGATGTCTGGAGCGCGTCAACAATCAGAGCTTTTCATGTGCAAGCTGGTTAATATGAGGTTAGGATGGGGTGAGGGGAAGGTTAAATTGCAAGAGGGTAAAGGTCACAATTTGGTTAAATGTCCGTTTTACGGCGGGTGTCAGTACCCACGCTCTGGCACAGCGCGTTGCCTCCCGAAGCGCAGGAGATTGTCACCTGCTGACAGCAGGCTGCTGTCTTTTCCGTGGACTGCATCTTGCCGGTCATTATCACATGACAGCGACTAGTCGATGACAGGCATAAAAAGTCACTATAGAGCGGTGAAGTCAACTAGTGACTAGTTCATACAACCCCTGCTACTGCCCCCCAGTGTTTTGCAGCATAATCAGCACGTTCTCTTTGAACTTGATATCAAACTTTTTGCCTCCTCTTCGCGTCCGCACGGCTAACATTACCCTCACGGTCTGTCACTGGCAAATCGAAAGTGAAACGGATGACACAACCGTTCCCCATACTTGCTTGTTACCACATTCCACCCGGCCACAATAAAAAAAAACGGCCATTATTCACCTCCGCCGACTCCGGCCAAAGTATGATACCCGGCAGTTAATTAAATACAGGCTAATATTAGAGGATTTACGGTATGTCTGTAGATGACCGGTGGCATGTAGCTCAATCTGTAGGTGAAAACTGACCATTTCTGGACGTTACATGTATGAACAAACACACGTCCACACAAAAGTAAAAGTATTCAAACAAACAAAAAGTGTACAGTAAATAGACATTGCAAATAATAACTGGGATGTAATGTAAAATACCTAAACCTTTTGTTGGGAGGGATGGCAGTTACACATTTGCTGCTGTGAGGAAGGATCCATGGGAACACAGACTGCAAAGATGCAGCAGGGGGGTCAGGATGGATCTGAGATCATGTGTGAGGTATCATTAACGTGTCACTAGGCACCAAAACCACACGAATCAATGTTTTTAGAATAAAGACAGCGGTGACGAAAAATCTAATTATAGATGATTAAGCAACTTAAAGCTTATGAAGCCACACACACACACACACACACACACACACACACACACACACTCACACACACACACACACACACACACACACACACATTTACGCACATTTTGGACATGGAGAGCACCTGTAGTGCTGCTGCTGAGAAGGACACAATTATGAATTCCACCAACATGATCACTTGTACCGCTTCAATTCAATTCAAAATTCAATTCAAAAATACTTTATTAATCCCAGAGGGAAACTGATTGCTGTAGAAGCTCAGAATAAAAAGAATAATCAAGTCGTCAAAGAGTTGTTGTATATTACAATGGCTGTTGGCAGGAAGGATCTCCAGTAGCGGTCAGTGTTGCAGCGAAACTGAAGAAGCCTCTGACTGAAGACACTCTTCCGTTGTCGGACAGTCTTGTGAAGAGAATGCTCAGGGTTGTCCATAATTTTCTTGATTCTCTGGAGCAGGGATTCCCAAAGTGTGGTGCGCGCACCCCTGGGGGTGCGCGAGCTGCCGCTAGGGGGTGCGCGAGGTGAAAAGTGTAATGGCTGCGGAGCTCAGAGAAGTCTGTCATATGCTGAAGTCTGTATGTACAGTCTATGGTCACATGTCACCATTAGCGTAGAAACTCATTTGTGGGTGGGCCAAAGAAAAAGTAAGTGGGCACAATAAATGTAATTGAAAACAAGTATATTTTTGCGCGCGCGCGCGTGTCCTCCGCATGTGCCCCAGCTTCATAATAACAATGCGCCGAGCTTCAGCACTCTGGCCTGCGCACGCCGATATGTTCCGTCGCGCGCGTGCGTGTCCTCCACATGTGCCCTAACTTCATAATAATAACAATGCGCCGAGCTTCAGCACTCTGGCCTGCGCACGCCGATATGTTCCGTCGCGCGCGTGCGTGTCCTCCACGTGTGCCCTAACTTCATAATAATAATAATGCGCCGAGCTTCAGCACTCTGGCCTGCGCACGCCGATATGTTCCGTCGCGCGCGTGCGTGTCCTCCACGTGTGCCCTAACTTCATAATAATAATAATGCGCCGAGCTTCAGCACTCTGGCCTGCGCACGCCGATATGTTCCGTCGCGCGCGTGCGTGTCCTCCACGTGTGCCCTAACTTCATAATAATAATAATGCGCCGAGCTTCAGCGCTCTGGCCTGCGCACGCCGATATGTTCCGTATTTGATCATTTTTAACGGTGTTGGAGGAATCTGAAGTTGGTGAGTCATTCTGGCAGATTGTAATTAACACCCTGTCTCATGCAGGTGTTCTGACATTGTAAACCTCACACACAGAACATTGTGGATGTAACAA